CACAGGGGTCAGCAAACCTCTCAAACTCCTGCCATATAATACAAAACAGTACATAATATCAGTAAAGTTATCACATGATCACCGCCACCAGACTTTCCTGATCACCTCTATGTGGTTCTGGTGTTTCGAGAGCCAAAAATGTGGGAATAGGAGCGAGTTACAAAGAAGGGTCAGTTCTGGTTTTCTCCTGAAATCCTGAATTTGTATTGCTGTCTATGGGAGAGTTTGAGGGTGCTCGCATCACTTGGAGGGTCACATTTCAAATTTTGTTAGTCTCTGTACTAAGGTAGCCACTTTTTATGAAACAGGGCACATTTGTCTACTAATGAGGAAGAAATTATTTGTGAAGACCAAAATATGTGGCTGTGAGGACGAGTTAAACAGAATTTTTTCAGAGGTACAGCTTCTCCTACTCTAGCGATGATGTCATCCGCTCTAGCCTTGAACATTCTGTGCAATGCACACCCATTATAAACTCAAAAATGATTAGAAAAAAGCTTGAAACTAAAACTGTGGTAATTCAAAAACTGTTGACGATATCAAAAATTTGAATACAAGCTTAATAGCTGAAAGGCTTGTCTACAGTTTAAAGATTGAATGAAGTCTGTAGCTGAAAGTATGCTGAAGCAGTTAAGGTTTAAAGAGGCTGAAGATTTCAAGGATTTGAACATGGTCTCCATTCACTTGAATGGCAAAAAAAATCATAAAATGCTTAAAATTCAAAAATTATAAATAATATCAAAAAGTTGAATACATCCAATATCTACAGAATCTACAGAAAAAGCCATTTTGATTGAATGGTTGAACGGTTTTTATAGGACAAAGTATGAAGGAGTAGTTAGAGACCGTAAAATACCTTTACATTCACACTAATAAGCATGCAGAATAATAATATATACCTTCAATTCTATTGCATTGCAGGCACGTAATTATTATTATCACTCTATAATTTTTTTATTGTATAATTTTACCCCTCCCTCCCCATTTTTAAATGTAACGCGGTAACACCTCAAAAACATTTTAACTGACTTACTTTGTTCTTTTATCCGAGAACATTTTTACACAGTGATTTACTGTTGTCTTTTCACCAATAGTGGTGACGCCGTTCACGTGTTGACATCAGTGTGGTGTCCCATCTCCAGTCAGTTTCGTTTACTGGTAGAGTTTATTGCTGCTCTGTCTGAACACAGTTAATGTTGCTGATTTCTTTATAACAGTGTCTAACTACCTGCTGTACATTTAAAGTTACACTAGTTCTGCTCCAGCACTCAGAGCTCTCTACTCCTTTAAGCGACTTTCACTAACAGCAGTTTTTTTACATGTTGTTCAGATCTGCTAGTTACTTAAGCTTTGCAGTTAGCACTAGCTTCTCTCCCTCTCCCTCTCTCTCGCTCACTCGGTGTAGTGTTGTTGTAACTTCAGTGTAGAGGGTTGTGATATTTACTACATCTTCAGCGATGTCTGCTGTCTTTAAGCACAGCTCCACTCACTAACTGGAGCTAACTGCGCACTCTAACTAAAAAAAGTCAGACAAACTCTTTTTTAAATCCCGGAATTTCCAACCTTCATAGACTATTTTGAATAGTTTCTTTGTCATGTGGTCACAGTGACCACTTTGAATCTTGCCTTTGTCTGTGTCCCCACAGACACCCCCCCCATACACACACACACACACACACACACACACACACACACACACACACACACACACACACACTCAATCGAGTATGGCATTGTAACTGTACCTGTAGTATACTAGATGTGAGAAGAGCATGCTGATGTTTTATGACTCTCTTTAACATTTAATGATCGAAAGTGTGCTTAAGTATAGTGGCTGATCTCGGTGTGTTTAAAATGCATAAGTGTGAAACATTGCATCCTCTACCTTCGAATTCAATCCTTCAAACGTTATACGCTGTACTCGTTAGATGATGATGATTTGGTTATCGATTATTCCAGTGATGTGCAAGCGTACGCGTCCTGCGTCCTCTAGATCATGAAATCTGAAAGGGACGTGTACGTCAGGCAAACTCACTTCCATGCGTCCAGGGACGTCAGCTCATTTTTCCCAATGAAAACGAATATCGATTGTGAACATATCAAACTCGTGTTTAAAATCACAGTAACTAGAAAGGTAATTCGCTGTCACAGACGTATCAGGCAACGGCTGATTTTTCAACCCTCTGCGCATCTACTCCGCGAGTAACCAGTGTTTCTCTGTTGCACCGTGATCGGCGACATGCTAGTGTTAGCCACTTACCCCGTTGTCTACACAATTTAGCCAGTACCGCGGATTCATTTCACATTAGAATACGAACTTCATAGTAGTAGAAGTAAACTCATGTTTCCACTGCTCGATGCTGTGTTCAATCATGTCCGACAATGTCTTAACTCTAGGGGAGCAGTGCTGTTAAGTATGCAATATTATAATAGAACATAGATCCTGCCGGTGGCCGTTGTGATGAAAATAGCTTTAAACAACTCTTCCACTTGTGTTAAGTTAAGGTTTCATAAGTGGTTGCTAAAAGAGTTTGCATTTCAGATAGGATTGACTTCAAGTTCATTTTGAATTAGTTGATGTTCAGTACAAAAAGATTTGGGTCTTATTTTGGTGACAATTTAATTTGTTGACGAATGTCGCGTAGCGTCGGATAGGTGATAGAAGAATGTTTTGTTTAATTGTGTAAAATCGCCTTTTATTGATAATTTATTTGGTAAACAAGACATTGGCAAGACATTTTGTTGTTTCAATAGAGTTGAGATTTTGAAGTAAATTTATATTCTTGGTGCTATTGTATGTGTGGCTGAAATAAAAGGCTAGTTTTAAATTTGAGAGTTTGGTATGTCATGGCCGCGTGTGACTGAGTTGTTTTGGCACAATAAACTTTGTCCAGATTTGGAATTCTTATTTGTTTAATTTCAGATACATTGTTGAAACATACAATGAATATATGCCGTTAATTATAACCATATCATACCACATCATAAGGGAGTATTAACACTACAATATTAAGAAATGAAAAGAATAGTAAAGAAATAAAAAATTTATTTGGGACCCATTGAGTTTCCAGGAGACCCACTCAAATCACCACCTTTGTGGGTCCTGGGGAACTCTTATGGATTATTATCAAGTTTCCAGAGCTGAATCAATGAATGAAATTGAGACTCAAAATAATTGGCTAATTCTTGGGCCTAGTAGTTTTTAGGCTGGTGCCGCCGAGGACTTTAATTAATTTTAAAGTTTTATTATTTAGTTAATATTTTTTCCCTTAATTTAATGATTTTAAATATAGACAACCGAAGATCCAACATTTTA